TGGAACAGTGGTTCCTGTGGTTTGCTCTGTGGGGCAGCCTAAGATGCTGCCATCTGGGCTCTAAAAGGGCCCCAATGATCCTCTCCTTGCCATGACAGAGGGAAAGGAATGGGTGGGAACCATGGAAAAGGCTGCCACATCTGGGCTTGGCCCTGTTACTGCAGCTGTAACTGCGAGGTGGGTTTGGGTGAGGAGCGGCAAGGAGAGAAATAGATTTCCTTGTTGTCTTCGTCCTCACTCAAAAAGGGTGGAGCTGAACTTGAGGGTGTAGCAAGCCTGCTTGGTCCCTCTAGGATCGGCATGGTACTGGTGCCAAAGAGTGGAGTGCCCAATACTGACTAGGAATATTAAATATCGATTAATTACTAGTCAAGTAACCTCATGAATTCTTATCAATTAGTCGATGATTCTATAGTCCCTGGAGGTGGGGCCAGCAGCCAGTGCATTCAGGCCCCATTCCCAAGGAGGCCCCTGGAACTCTGCGCTGCTGCCTCTGAAACAGAGGCAGCAGCATGGGGTGCCAGGTGGGAGCTGGTACGCAAGGGGAGCCCGTTTGAAAACCAGCTCCCCTCGTGAACCGGCTGCCTGTTGCCCCGTGCTGCTGCCTCTGATTAAGAGGCAAAATCATGGGGTGGCAGCAGCCCCTGTCTGGGGCGGAGGGTTGGAGGGTGTCTGAGCTCCCGGACCCGTCACAAGCCGGGACTGAGCTGAGCTGCCTGCCCTTCTGGCTCCCAGTACACTTTAAATGCAGAGCCACAGCAGGGGTAGCTTCTGGACATAACGTGAAGGAGGACTGAGCAGGGCTGCCTGCCCGCCTCGCTCCTAATATACTTTAAATGCAGAGTTGCAGCAGGGGGAGGTCCTGGACCTGTCACAAGCCAGGACTGAGCCGGGTAAAAAAATCTGCTGGTGGGGGAGGGAAATGCATGTAGTCTATAGCATTAAGCGATAAGCTTTTGCTTATCAGTTAATTGACTACACTATTACATCCCTAGTACCGAAGTAACCATGGGCTCCTCATGTGTGGTCAAAGGATGTGGTAGAGGAAACACTGATATGGACAGTGCAGTCTCCTGGGTATAGTGCAGTGCACAGTCATAGTGGCAAGTCTTAGTTGCTGTTGGTACTGGAGAGGTGTCGGTATGTGGCCCTGGTACCGTCTTAGATGGGGTCTGCACTGATGGATCCAAGCAGCTCTCAGTTCCGGAGGGATGTATCGGTTTCAGTGCCACTTGCCCCAGTACCCATGCTGTTGGTACTGGCAGTGCAGGTGCGGTCTTTTATGGTTTCAGGTGCTGAAACCATAGTGCATGCTTCCTTGGTTAGCACCAGGCCTCGGTATTTGTCCGCACTAGATGTGCTTGGAAACTGCGCATCCCCTGAAGCCTGTACCTTTGGTGCTGAGGAAGGTTTTTGTTGAAGGGATACCTTTTTAGCAGATCTCTCGGTTGTAGGTGAGGAGTGCTTTCTCTTTGAAGTCATCTTGGCTGGAGGTTCCTGCAGTGCCAACATCCCTTGGGCCAAAACCACTGTGGGGGAAGTCCAAGGTGGAAAGGCTTGTGACACCAGCTCTGATTCCAACTTCACCATCTTCTCCATTGTCAGGAGCTTCAGCTGCAGATCCATGGCCAGGACTTGGAGGACAGCTTCTTGCAATGGTGGCAGCTGTGCGGGGAATGCTCTTGTCCTAAGCATCTAATATATTCAGCTGGACAGTCTTCAAGTCAGGCATCTCTTGAACCTAGGAGAGCCTGGCATTACTAATCCTACTAAATGGGAAAGGAATAAGAAGAAAAGGGATTTTTTTTTAACTAGGAAAGAGGGAAGGAAAAAGGCACTCAAATAAACTAGGGGGAAAAAACTGTTTCAACAAATACTTCAAGTCAGGCATCTCTTGAACCTAGGAGAGCCTGGCATTACTAATCCTACTAAATGGGAAAGGAATAAGAAAAAAAGGGGTTTTTTTTAACTGGGAAAGAGGGAAGGAAAAAGGCACTCAAATAAACTAGGGGGAAAAAACTGTTTCAACAAATACTGTAAAACTCCAATAGTTTGGCATCCAATAGTCCAGCACTCCTGATAATCCGGCATCAAAATGGCAAGAGCCTAGTGAGTGAGCTTCAGCAAAAAATGAGTCACAAGGTAACAGCGGCAGCAGCTGAACTGAGCAAAAAGGGTAAAAAAGGCTTAAAAAACTAAAACATTACAGTATACTGTATATACAATAAAAAGGGTTAAGAACACTTTATATACAGTATATAATGTATACAGTGTATATATATATATAACCTGCTTATAGTATCTCCTGATAGTCCGGCATATCTGATAATCCGGCACCACCTAAATCCCATAGGTTCCGGATTATCGGAAGTCTACTGTACTCTAATAATAATCTTATCTATAAAGGAGAACAGAGTGCTGCTCGGTTCCAACCAAGCCTGGGTTGATTGAAAAGAAACTGAGAAACAGTAGATAGCACATTCGCTACAGTGCAAGCAGCACAATGCATACGTGCCAGCACCCAGAGCACTGCTGCTAAAAAGTCCCAATTATAAGCGCAGAGGTGATAAGGCACCTAAAGTGGAGCACCCACAAGCACACTCCTCAAAGAAATCCCTATTCTCCTGAGCAATCCTGTCTCCTGGTTAATGGGTCCTAAATTGATTAAAGCACTCTTAAACAACAAGGTCTTAACATTTATTACATAACAGGACAACTCAGACTATGCTCCATGAAGCCACAACCTCCATGTGAGGGATCAACTAAAAAGGAGCCCATGCAAAATTCCTCAGTGCTCTAATTGGGGGAAAGAGATACTGAAGAGAGACTGGATCCAATGAAGGGCTCTCCTAAGGTTTAAAAATAGTGAAATTACAAGCCCAAGATGCCACTGATTCCAAGAACTGAGTACCACTGTCTGAAGGTTCCAAACCACTAGAACTAGTCAGAAAATACCAACAAAAATTACACTGGGGACAATTATTTTCTTCCTACAAGCCAACTACCAGGAGTTTCAAAGGCCCCACTACACAGTCCTCCAGTTGTGCAGAAGGTCTGTGCCTATCTAAACCATCAGTCCTGATGCTTCAGACTCTAGGCACTGACCTTGAAAATGGGTATCATATGCGACCTGCTGCTACTCCCTTGATTTTAAACTATTCTGTGAACGCAGATTGTGCATAAACAAAGATATCACTGTCACCTTCTTCTTTCCCCTCCAACAACCTTCCTTTTCTCTTACTTTTTGTTACACCTACTTGAAGGGTTCTTGTCTTAAACCAGATGATCTTACCAGTCTCAGAGATTTGGATGGCTACTACAATATAAACAATAAATACCCTATTGATAAAATCCTAGATTCCCCTCCCATGTTCCATTAAAAGATACAACACTGTTCACAGCATCTGCTCTCTTCAGACTCATCAGAATTAAACAACCACTTAAGCGTATGGGGAGAAAGCCTAATCCCTCTGAAATCATTCTAAATTCTCACTTACCTCAGTGAAGCCAGGATTTTACCTGTGTTGTAAGAGAAACAAGGATGTTATCTAGACTGCTTTTAAAACTGCTTTTCCATGGAAGGCAAAATTTCTCCAGGTGCCTGGCCAAGATGGAAATATAAACAGCACCATGCTAACGAGTAAGGATACACAGACCTTCAATAAAAATATACAGGTGATCTGAACTTAAGGCACCTGTGAAATATTCAAATCCTTAATTAGAAATCTCCTACTATGTGCCAGTTACATGTAATATCTGATGCTTTACTGAGCATGCACAAGGGGGCAATGTCTATTTATGAAAATCCTACTGCCCAACTTCTCCATTATATTTAGCTGTGCATGGCCATATTTTAGAATTGAAGCATGGTTTGAACAGATTTTGAACATCACAGTCAGCTTTTAGTTACTATTCTGAATTAACCTGAAAACCAGTTAAATCGCACCAGTGATTTGTTCTTCATTGTTGTTCCTTTCACGATATTGAATGAAAAGTCCGATGAAGAATTCATGGACAAATGTGTACTGAGGCCAACACTAATTTTCAATTAAATAAACAGTCCCCTATCTAACTCACTTTTTACTTTCAGGGCATTAAGTAGAATTTTGCAACAGAAGTTTCAATGTTTTAAAAGAAAGAACAACAACATGGACTAGATTAGTTTCAATCAGAAAAATAAGACAGACTATTGTTATTTTTTCAAGAATGTGCTACAGCAAATAAACACAGCTATACCACAAAGCAGTAATTCCAATTCTGAGATCTGCTGATGTAAAAATAACAAAGCAAAACAATCTAAATTCCCTCCTTTGGTATATTATATCACCTACATTTTGAAGAAATTATAGCTTCATTATATAGAAATGGTTGTACATTATTCCATATGTAATCTCAATTTGTTCAAAATGTCTAAAATAGAACCAAAGGCATAAAAATATTCTGTATAGTCAAATTTAACCATGGAAATAATGGAACTTTGTAAAGTGAAACTCTACAGCTTAATAAGAGAAAGAAAACCTTGAGAGACAGCCTTTTATTTCAGGAATGGGGTTGTAAAAGGAATTTCATAATCTTCTACTTACCTTTTCAAAGTCTACAGGCATGATGGGAAGAATTAGCACTTATTATGCACTTTTTCAAACATCTTGTTAAAAACGAATTAGTAATTCTACATACAAGTTGCAATTCAGCAAGATAGTCAAATGTGCATGTCATGTTTAGCACATGAAAAGAAGGCAGCAGAATCAATGAAACTAAGGGGGACAATGTTTCTTGCTGAATCAAGGTGATAAAGCTCTACTACTGCTATGGCTCTGTTAAGAGTACTACCCATAGAGCATTTAACAAACAGTTACTATCCATGTAGAAACAATGAAAATATGCTAAAATACATGTAAACCTAATATAACGTTCCTCTTCTTTTTACCATGCCATCCATTTCCAAATATCCTGTACCAAATACATTATATTCAAAATATTGTATAGACATACAGCCAACATAGTATCAAAATATATTTTATTCTGGACCTCTTTCAGATCTGATTCAAATTACAGTTGTCAGAGCAATACAATGCAAAGGGAAACTGCAACAGAAAATGTGCCTAGAAGGAATCTGGGTTTGGGGGATAAATCATTGTGATGAAGAACCAAAATAACATCATAGTGTAATTAACATGGTCCAGGACAGTATAGAACATCTATATCAGTCTTCTTTAGACAATAATCATGAAAACTGAACATTGAAAGTCCTTTAAACAAGTACAAAAAACTGTCATGGGCTGGTTTACACTTTTACAACAATTGTAGTTTAACTGGATAACTGAAGAAGTGATGCAGACATTTTAATCCAGTGCTATATGTAGGCTCACAGAATTAGACCCAAAGGATTTGTAACTTCAAAATGAAACCATTACAACTATGGTGTAAATGTCAGGAGAGAGAGAAAAAAATATTTCTGTATTCTAGGATTACTGATATGCACACTGCAATCTCTTGCAAAGATTGCAAAGTACACTGGACAACCAACGACATGCAGACTGTTTTCCTGAATTTATACACAAATGCAAGGAAACCCTTATGAAGTAAAAATGCTTGTTACTTAAAAGGAAAATTCATGTCCTAAGTTATCATCAGGCCTCAAAGCCTGGAAACTTTAAAGGCTGAAGAAGAGAATTCTGTACCTCTTCAAAAAACTATGGGAGCTGAAGCACTATTACACAAAATCTGCAGTTTTAAAAAAGAAATGGTGCCATTTTTCCATTGTTTTGTCTGCCTTCAATCATATTCATGTTGAAAAAGTCTTTACTGAATGTGATATTTCAGAGCTTGGCCAGGTGTCATCATGGAGATTTACTACCACCTCCCAAACCCATACTTTCTTCCAACATGCCACAAAGTTGTTCCTGTTTTTTGCAGACTTCTGGAGAGTCCTCTTCATACAAGTTCTATAGGCATTTTCAGTAGGAAGAAGAGATCTGTAAGAGAGTATTGCCTGCCAAGGAAAGGACTACAGAGCTAAATACACCAGAGCTTACACAAGCAAAATTCCCACTAAGTCAATAGGTGTTTTTTTTCTGGCCCATTATACTTAAGCATTCCATCGTCCAATCCTCCCATGGTTACTTAGGCAAAAGCTTCCCCATGAAGTGAAAAAGTCAATGAGATTTTTGACTAAGGATGGAATACTGGGCCCCGTGTCATCTCTTTACTAAACAGAGGAAACATACAACTTTTCATCTATAACCTGAAAAGCCACATTTGCAATTATAATGAAGTTCCTTCATATGACAGAATTAAATGCATCAGCTATTACATTGCTCTGTAGGCAAATCCAAGGCAAACTGGTACTACAGCCCTACTGTAGCTACTACCTTCCTAAATACAGAGAACACTTTAAAGTCAGCAATGTCTCATTAAATACCATCACATGAGGTAAGAAGTGTAAAGAAAAAGGAGTGCATTGAAAAACATAAAAATGAACGCTGGTACAAATCTTTGGCCTTTCTTTTAAAATTCTCTAAAGTGTCCCAAAACTTTCCAGATATGTGTTTCAACTGTCATGTCATTCAAACTCTAGTAATTATCACTTCCCTCCCCTAACCCAGAAAAAGAGGCACTTTTAGTATTTCATAGAAGAGTTCTAGTCCTCTACTAGACACACCATTTAACCCTGTAAAGAAGTATTTCCTAAACAACTGCATTATCAACACCACAAACAATTAAAAAAAAGTTTTTTAGGACTTAAATACTTTGTAAACCATGCTAGAAAGTTAAAGGTTTGGGAATCTATACATCAATTTTAAATCACAGGAACAAAAGTAAAAATAGAAAATGAGGAAATCTCCAGGAAAACCCGAAACTCCTAATACAGAAATGGGAAACATGAAATTCCAAAGCTGATGATAAAAAAAAGATAGCAAATCTGACAGCAGCCCAGACTTCATCCCATCAATAAATGCGACCAGTTTTTCCTAAATAAAATTTCTCCCCAAGAATTCCTTGTCCTGGAAAAAAATGATGCATAAAGATTTCTATGTATTAAACTTCACATGCCTGAAGCAGGCCCACTGACTTCCACTGGACATTTAGCATGTAAAGTTAAACATGTGCTTAAGTCTTCACAGAAGTGGGTCTTATTAATATCAGGCATGTGTCCCTTAACGGGAAGCGCGTGAAAGATCTATTCTGTTCCACTATAAATACGCTAGAAAAGAATCTAATGACCATGGTACTCCTTCTTGCCTCACATAAAACATGGAAATAAGCATCATGCATGCACATGGCTAATACTGATTATTACATGAAAGAGGAAGAAGCTTGTGCAGAACAGGAGCAGCGCTGTGGCATGTTGATAAAGAACAACAGTAAAAAAAAATATTCTGGCCGGATCCTCATAGCTCCACTGCAACAGAGCATCGCTGATTCACACCAGCTTGATGTCTGGCTCATGTATCCAGAGACACCCAGACCTATGAAACTGATATTCCTGAAGCATGTACAAACATCTGAAAACCAACAGTCCTGTGGTTATGAAGGTCTGTATTTTCTAATTATGGATACTTGACATTATGCGTAAGCAATCAGATCTACTCAAAACTAAAACAGCTGAAGAGTAAGAAAAAGAAGAGTGGCAATACCATCAAATATGGCTGTGGTTTTGCAGTTATGTCACAGGATTCCACTTTTTTTTTTCAATTCGCTGAAACAACCATCTGATAACTTGTATGAAAATGAATAAACTGTCCATATTAAAATACAAAAGTACTATCAAGAATCACCTCTGACTTTCAATTTAAATTCAGTGCAATCGACAAATGCATTGCTAAAGGAAAAAATTCAGCTTAAATATACTCAAAACATTTGTGTCTATTCCTGGGAGCACAGTTTAAAATTATTGCACAGATATTTTTTTTTAAATTTTTCTTAATAATGACAGAGGTCAGCCACAGTTGTGGACCTCTAGCAATAAAAGCAATATTTCAAGTGCCAGACACTCAACATAGTAGGTTTCCTACACATTGTAACTCACAGGGTGGTAGTTCTAAACAGCAGTATGTTACAAAACCCTAAAAATAGCTGGCACAGAACCATCATGGATGACTGCCTTTATGGACATGAATGTTTGAATGTTGTTGTTGTTAAATGTGGTGTATTATAGTATTATCTGCCTCACTGATAATAACTGGGATACATATTAAGTATGTATGTAGTCTCTTTACCACCAGCAAACTGTCATCCTACCTTAGCCAAACTCAGACTTGCTTCAAGTCATGTTATTCTGTGGCAATAGCAGAAATCAATGCCTAAAGAACAATTATGTTAAAATGTAAAAGCTGCATTATTTGGGTTAAACCAATTTATACTTAACTACAAAAAGTTAAAGTTTAGCCGTCATAAGCCACAAAATTAGTTTATGATTGAAATAGTGTTATAAAACTGATAACTTTGCAAAGCTCTATAATATAAACCATTTTTTAAGTAAAATGTTTGTGACATAGTTTTGACAACCTCTTTTTATAGAGATTTGCACACGTGGAATCGTATGCGAGACAAAACTCTTTCAACTCCATATAGGCATAAACAAGACCTCATGCTATAAATTTACAAATAAAATCACTATCAATATACTTTTAATCACATGAGCAGAAAAAGGTTTGCCGCTTACATATGTCGCTGTAAGAAAAATATTTGATATTGTAAACAGAGTAAAAGACACAATATAGTAGTGATTATTAAAAAAATAGCAGCTTACATCTACCTTATATTTGGGGGGAAATGTAGTCACAAGACGCAACAAATTACAGGACTGGAGCAGCAGGGGAATTAGTGCAAGTATTCATCTTTTAAATAAGCTGAATTACTGCTATTAAAATAAACTTGAAGCAAGTCCTCTGTTTTTAAGATTTTTTTTTAAATCTAAGGTAGTAAACATTTTGCCTGTTAATGGCTGTGTTATCAAATATATGCCAAAGATTTTATTTTGTATAAAGAAAAATTACATTAGACACTTTTAATACTGGAATTTGGTTACATTAGACATCTGAGCTCCTATAAACAATGATGGGCAACTTGTAGAAGCTGTGGCATGAACCCTTGTCCAAAAAGATTTAACTCTTTTAAAAAACAAAACAAAAAAAACAAACAATCCCCTCCCTCCCCTCCAAAAAAAACCCTATGTTTTGCTCCTTTTCACAATAGTGCACAATTTAACCATAAGTTAGTTATGGTCAACGCAACAGAAGATGCATATTTTTATTTATTTATTTGCATCCCTGTATTTTCTATGTTTTTTGTGCCCTTCTATTCTTAAGTTTGGCAGAATTATGTCCCAAATAAGAAATTACTGCATTTCAGCCATGTCATTAGAAAAAAAAACACAGTATCATACCCATTGCTGACGTACTTTATAGATTAACAGGACATGAAACTTCATGTCTCAGAGGTGAGTTTATTTTTTCTCTTCCCTAGTCACCCATCTTCCCTCCCCCCCTCAGAATTGTGCTCTCGGAGCCACAGAATGTACCAAATATCATTAAGTTCATTCACTCTACCTCTTGAAATAACGCATTAAAATATATATATTTTAAAAGAAGTTTTGTTTAAAGGTGAAAAAATATAAACAAGGAACTGATTCACTCCCTTACTTCATGCATCCATAAACTTAACCAAAACAAAACAACACCCCCCTCCCAATGTTTAAAAGCTAAGAACAAAATACAGCTGCAGATTTATGTAAGTCCATTTTCTCTGTACACACAAACTGCTCAACTACTGAGAAAGAGCAGGGGGAAAAAACCACAAACCATCATGACTCTGGATTAAAAATGGGGAAATAAAGGCTGTCATTAGTATCTTCCAAATTTGGTACATGTATGGTCTGCTCTTGTATGGTATATTTCTCTCTCTTCTGTTTTTCAAACGTGAAACTTCTAAATGTTATTTTGGGGGCACAGCAGATTCCAGCACTTGGTGAACAGGATTCACAAGCTGTGACAAAACTCTGTCATCCTCTTCAGGGTGTAATCTTTATTTTATTTTATATACAGTATATGTATATACTTCTTTTAAGTTTGGCTGTACTGGACTGGCCATGGTTCAATTGGGACTATAGCAGTACATGGGTTAGGGACAGTCATTTTGGCTATGTACACATTCATAGTCGGTCCATGGCTTCCAACTAATAGCGCTATTTCCGTAAGTCTAATACACAAACCTGTAAGAAAAAAGAAATACATATATAGAAATGCACACTGTACAGCATTTTTATAGCTCTGCAATTCTATATTCAATATAAGATCATAACGATGAATCAGGTTATTCAAACTGAACACATATCTATAGTGGTAGGAAAAAAACCTCATGATAAACACTGTGCATCATCATCTATAAACTATGGATACAATACATAACGCCAAAAAAATTCAGTAAAATTTTCAAAAGCAACTAAGTTATTTAGCAAGCAAAGACCTGTTGACTTTTACTGAGAGTGAGACTTTTACTGAGGCTCCTAAGTATCCAAGACATTTTTAAACAATGTGATGTTGATGCTATTGAAAAGTTACCTGTTACACTGTAATTCCCTGTTTAGGTGTCCATTTGATTAAAGAGTGGCTGCGAGGGGGAGGGGGGACAGTGAGCTTTGTTAATAATGTGTAACCAAGTGCTCCTGGCACTGCTACCCTTGTCTTCTGTTCTGCAATCCTCAACCACTGTGGTGTCTTACATCCCACTTATATGTCTTGTCCTACAAATTGCAAGACCTTTGTTGCAAGGTCAATCTTTTTTTTGTACATGTTTGTACAATGCCGAGCACATACGATTAAGGGTCTCTGAATGCTCTGTCTAATACATATAATGGACACCATCATGGGATCCACAGAAACATTGTGACAAAAACAGCCTCAGGTGATTTCTACAATAGCGGCCCACAAATGACAATAACATTGAACTACTGTATTTCTTTTGCACATGGAGAATTAATGAGCAAGTAAAGACACAAACAGTTAATGAGAGATTGTATATGGATTTTGCTTCTCCATATTAAAAAATAAACTAAGGGATTTACATGGTTATATCCCAGTCATTCAAAAGAAGACATAACTGGAACTTCAACTGTTTGGTTTTTGTTATAGGGAACTAACAAAAACAAAAAAGATACTGTGAATCTTTTTGTTTTGTCTAATACGTGGTAGTTAAAAGCCAAGTAATCAATCTGGAATTACTATAATATCTCATTAAATCTGCATTGTGGGGGAGGGGGGGGAGGAATACTAGAACAGATGAGATCAACCATGAAAAGAACATCTACTAGTACAGTTTCCTCTTTTAATCTATTCAGAAGATGGATCAGTTGCTAGAGCCTGGAGTTGCTTCATGTCTACAAATTCCTAACCAGAATAAGAAAATCACTTGTAACCTACATTGTATTCATCAGTTGGTTCAAAGAGGCCATCCATTTGTTTAATCAGTACTCAGTTTATTGTATAAAAGCTAGCTCTGGATTAGCAGGGAAGCTGTGGGTGGATTAAATATATCATCTCATTAAACAACCTTACCAGAGACAGAAGAAATAACTTTTTAAAATGTGCAGTCAAAGCTAGTGTCACATGACAAATGAACTTAATGGGGAAATATCGGTGTATTTTGTCTGAATATATTCAAATTGTCTCCCCTTAGAATAGGTAGAAGCCAAATCTCTTTACTCTCCCCAGTACGTAATTTGGAGCCTCTGAGACCTTCCTAGGGATACCAAAATGCTGGCCACCCATTTTTACATGATACAGATTATATGAAAACTTGCTTTAACTGAGACCAAGTCTATACAATGGAGTTTCCATTTCTTTTTGTACTCAGAGAGCTGCCCACTTTCTGTTTTGAAGCACAACACACCAATTATTCTGGCCTTCCCAAAAGTTTAATTTGGAGCCTCTGAGACCTTCCTAGGGATACCAAAATGCTGGCCACCCATTTTTACATGATACAGATTATATGAAAACTTGCTTTAACTGAGACCAAGTCTATACAATGGAGTTTCCATTTCTTTTTGTACTCAGAGAGCTGCCCACTTTCTGTTTTGAAGCACAACACACCAATTATTCTGGCCTTCCCAAAAGTTGTCCTCACTTTCTTTAGTAGATGTCCACTTAAAGCTGCATGTGACCCTGCTTCACCTCAGTGGGCCACAGTAGTCCGAGGCTCACTGAGGATCCACCTGCAGTCCTGCTGCCCAGTCTGGCATTCCTTCCCCATGCACCTTTTGCACACTGTCCCTTCCAGCACTTTTGGAGGAGCCCTGAATCACCTGATATGTGCTCTTCCTTGCTGCTCCCTCTCCCCACCAGAGCTGGAACACTGCTAATCAGCTGTTCATGGCATTCCAGCTCTGGGAGGGAGGGAAAGGAGCAGGGATGGAGCATGAATCAGGCGATTCACATGCACCAAAAGCACTAGTAGGAAAGGGGAAGGAGCAGGTAATTGCAGGGCTCTGGTGCTCCAGTGTGCAAGAGGTACATGGGGGGCAGTCAGGGGGTCCATGGGTCACGAGTGGCATACCAGCGATCCATATGCGGTCCACAGGCTGTAGGTTGTCTACAACCGACTTAAGGGATCTGAAAGGATCTTTTATTATTATTATTATTATCCAGAAAGATTTAGACAGAAGTCACCTGACTTCATTGCTTGAAGGAATACTTCTAGGTATCAGAGAGATATCCTACCTTTTCCCAACTGTGTTTATTTCTTCTATAACTATGTATGTGAGCCAGAAGGTGGGGGGAGGGGAGAGGAACATGCAGACTCTTTGGCATAAGGGTCATCAGATTATTTGAATCTCTGGCCTGTGATGGTACCAGGGTAACTTCACTCACTTACTTACTTCTGGCACTACTTCAAGCTACCAATTCTCAGAGTACATGTCCATAACAATTCTTATCCAACACTCTTATTTCAGTTTTGTGTTAGACTTGATCCCAGTCTGTCTCCTTTCTTATTAACCCATGACATTAAGGGGAGACTGTTTGTCTGAAAGCTATGCAGAGTCACACATGAACGTTTTTAATTCAGTATTGTTGCAGGGTGACAATGAAAGAATTGGAAGGCCACACTCTGTCAGACTGCACAGGGGGAAAGGGACAGATTCATACTTTATTAGATCTTAGGAGCCCTGCTCCGGGGCAAGTCCAAGCAATGTAAGCAAAAGGTTACTTGTATAAAGGTTCTCTAAGATTCAGGATTTGTAACTGATGAGTGCTCAGAAATTCATACTTTGTCTTGTTGCTGTTTTTGTTTAATTTGCAATAGCAATTAAATGATATTTTTTAATTTCTGATATGAATGAAGTAATGCCATTTTACATTGACCTGTTCTCTTGAAATGAAACAGATGGCAAGCAACAACTTGTTTCTACACTGAAATGAGCAGACCAATATGTTGTTCTACAGCCTCTCCAGGCTCAAAACTGTAACATTTCACACGTGCATCTTTCCTCTGATGATTTTGAAGGACTTGAAAAACAGACATGGATTACACTTCACAAAACCCTTGTGAACAAGACAGACAACTTCCAACCTTGCCTTAATTTTGGATGTTAATTTCAGTGAAAAACAAGGTAACATTTTACATAATTAGCTATTTGTACTCATTCTTCCTCAGAATAAGCAAAATTTCTTACTGAGCCATCTGAAGCACTTGCTCCAACTTTGTCTCCTGCTGCATTCCAGCAAACCTCAAAAATCCCTCCTGTTCCCCGATAACTGTGAACTAAAGCACCTGTCTACAAGGGAAAAAATGATATGCAATTAGTATAATAAAAGGTACACAAGTAAGTGGAGTTTGTATAGCACATAGAATTTCCCTATCACTTTTACAGGGTGAAATTCTCCCCAAGGGAAATGAACCATGTAAGATCTCACGTACTACTTCAACATTATTTTAAAGCATTTATGAAACTCTGTATCCCCATTATAATCAGGTTTGTTACCTTTTATACGAGAGGCATATCTGATTGCTTTGGTCACTTCTGGTTATGAAAGATCTAGTGGTACCTTTTGTAAACTAAGGGTCTTATTCCTAATGTTCTACCTTATTTTCATCTGGAGTTACAAGGGAAACTTTTGGTAGGCAAAATGTATTTTCATTTGCATATATCTTTTTTTCAGCTATGCAAAACAGGTGAAAGTATTTTTGCACAAACAGTTTCTTTTTTTCCCAAAATTTACTGAAATAGCTTTTTGCATCTCATTCAAATATCACAGCTATCTTTCATTTGAAACAGATTTGTTTTCCTTGAATATTTTTAAGGAAATGTAGTTCAGTTATGAGTATAAGTTCACAAAAAAAATTTTATTTTATAGTGAAGCTTGTGAAAAATTCATTTTCTGGGTAGCTTTACCACCTACTAGAGATGTCAATGGTAAAAAAAATATTGTATGATATTTCTGAGTCCCAAAAAGGGTACGAAATATATAGATCAAAGATGAAAAGAGGCACGATGTAATCATAGGCCTTGTCTACACCAGTGTTTCTTAAGTTTTTTGAGACCACGGAACACCAAACAATAATATTTTTTATGCAGAACACCTATGAAAATATTCTTAAAAAATAAATTTTGTCAGACAAAAAAAGACAAAAACAAAGAAGAGGTTGCAGCACACCTGTGAGTTGTTCACGGAACACCAGTGTTCTGCAGAACATAGTTTAAGAAACACTGGTCTACACTACGCATGCTGCAACAATCGATCCATCACCTATCAAATTACTGCATCTGCCGCAGACGCAATAAATCAATCGTCAAGTGCACTCCCATCAATCTTGGAATGGGAAGAGTAGCTGGCATTGACATAGCAACTCTGCCTCGGGCTTTCTGGAGTCAGCCGCTGATCAGTTTCAGCAGCAGCTGACATGGGGACACCTGGGGTAGAGCAGCTGGAGTGCTGCCGGGTTGGTCCAGTAGTGCCGAGGAGTGGCGCTGAGGGACCAACCCGGCAGCACCCCAGCTGCTCTGCCCCAGGCGTCCCCAAGAGCAGCTGGGGTACTGCCGGATTGGTCTCACTGCGCCAAGGGTTGGCGCTACCGGACCAACCCGGCAGCACTCCAGCTGCTCTGCTGCAGGCGTCCCCCATTCTGCCGCTGCTGAAACTGACCAGCAGCGGCTGAATCAGGGACGCCTGAGGCAGAGCCGGACTATCGGAAGGGGGGGCTATGAGGGGTCTGGGATGGCATCCCCCCCACCCCAGACCGCTCATAGCCCCCCCCCCCTTCCGATAGTCCGGAAAATCTGATAATCCGGCACCCCCTGGGTCCTAAAGGTGCCGGATTATCGGAAGTTTACTGTACAGAGGTGTCCTTGCAAAACAACAATTATATTTCACGGTTCTGGACACACAGTTATTCTTTTCTAGAACTGGATCCAACACATACATCATCATCATCATCTAACATTGACTGTAGCTGCTTTGGGTAAAAGCCATAATCATGTATGAACAAGGCAGCTATTTATACTTTTCAGACCATAATGTTTGTGTGTGTATGCTGCATCCTTACACTGAAATTGTGATACTGAATAAACATATCTGTGAGAATCAGTGTGTCACTTTTTAAACTAAGTTTTACCTTGTCGAAAATTTGCAAAAAGACCCATTTGAATGGAAGAAAGCTACTTTCGCCTATTATATTTAATATTGATTTATATTGAACATACAAAGCTGAACTGGACAAAGCAACAGAAACATCTAGCAACAATATGTGATTCATTGAGTAAGTCTGAAACACAAATAAATTGGTTCATATAAAAACAGTAAAGTGTACCTGTGTATTCCAGATGTGAACACATTTGTCAAAAGAGCCACTGGCCAGGTACCTGCCATCAGGGCTGAAAGCTACACTGTACACAGGTTCTTGATGTTTTGTCAAAGTGTGGATGCAAATTCCTCTGTCTACATCCCATAACCTAACAGTAGAATCAAAGGATGCACTGCCAACAGAAAAAAAAAAGAAGGATTAAATTTCAATGTTATTGATTTTTTTTCTTTAATGGTATTGTTATATCATCTTCTTTAGTGCCAGAGTATCTCTTAAAGTAGAGATCCAATTTATGATCCTTGCTGTGCTGCTAAAAGGCATTGCAAAACACATATTTACAGAAGGCAAAAAGGATAAAATAGTTAAAAAAAAGTCAACTTCATGACTAGTACGATGAAAAGATTAAATATTACCTTGCTAACATAAGATTGGCATTTGGATTGTTTGTTCCTGGTCCTGTAGGACTCCATTTGATAGTATAAATTTCTTTATTATGTGCTTGTAGATCATGGACACAACTATCTTGTTTCATACTCCAGATCTAGGACAAAAATGATAGGAAAAAACAGCTTATGTTTAGGGGGTATTAAACACTACACTAGAACATACTGATTCTCCCATCCTCTTCTTCGCTCACAGCTAACAAGACCCATCTAACATCTTTTTAGGCAACTAAAATCATAAACCATCACTGATTATTTTTCAGGAGACAGGTTGTATTGATAACTTACAGAAAACAAACACATAAGCTACATCTAGACTGGCATGATTTTCCGCAAATGCTTTTAACAGAAAAGTTTTTCTTTTAAAAGCATTTGCGGAAAAGTTTTTCTGTTAAAAGCATTTGCGGAAAAGAGCGTCTAGATTGGCATGGACGCTTTTGCGCAAAAGCACTTTTTGGCTTATCCCTGAGCGGGAGCATCATAGTATTTGTGCAAGAACACTGACAATGTTACATTAGATCGTCAGTGTTCTTGCGGAAATTCAAGCAGCCAGTGCAGACAGCTGGCAAGTTTTTCCGCAAAAGCAGCTGCTTTTGCGGAAAATCTTGCCAGTCTAGACGCAGCCATGGGGTTAAAAATAAACAAAGTTGTGACATACAATATTTCCTACCTGAACTGTTAACACCAATAAAAGTTTCTGTGCAAAGACCTTAGAGACTAAAGTCTTCATTTTGTCCACTGGTTTGAAAATACATTTGCATCATCAGTCAAAGGCTCCCTCACCACCATATCCAGGTGCTTCAACATAACCTGGAAACAACATCTCTAGGGTTGAGTAGCTTAATCTTTCTCATTTGCTTCTTGGACTCTGTTGAGAAAGGCCAATAAGGGTGCCAGCTGAACTGTGGGGGTGGGCGATTAATGATGAGAATATATGTCCAATAGTAACTACACTGGAAGATCATTAACCAGCTTGTGAAATGGTTATGAAGAGACTGCTGAGAACCCAGTTTAGATAGCAAGCAGCAACCTAGAGGTAAGAAGCAGTACACCTAGAATGAGCTGCAGAGTACACTGGGCTCTTTCAATAAATACATAAAATATAAACAGAGTTCTTCTGGTTTGAAATACGGATGTAAGGGAGTAGTCGACTAGTCAAGTAAGCTACTCTCATCTCCCCTCCCCCTTGCTGCTTCCGTATCAGAGGCAGCAAGGGTGGGAGAAGCAGGAGCTGGTGCTGAAAAGAGCCAGCTTAGTAGCCAGTTCCCCTCAGCACCATCTCCACAGTGCCGCCCATCCCCCCCAACCCTTGCTGCTGCCTATCAGGCAGCCCTTGTCCCTGAGGGGTCTTCATAAATTAAGGTACTATTCAACATAGGGAAAGGTATCTTCATCTATCCTTCCGGAAGACTGAAGAATGCTGGAGTGTTCCTTGTAAGCTGTGTGCTTGTGCAGCTGCTCAAGAGAGATTCAAATGCTGCCCAGCTGATTAGCAGAGCACGACAGCTACGTTTTTTGTTTCTACTCATGCTGCACTCATGCTGTTTCTACTCCTTGGTGCACATAGAAACATTTATTCCATACATGGATGGAAAAGAATAAAGGGAACATCGGAGGTACCCACTCTCTAACACTTTGCCGCATCAAGTTATTTGTACCTAAATATTGTCAAGTGTATGGAATGTAATAGCAGATGGGCACCTGAACATAAGAGGTGAGTAAATAAAATGATACAGGAAAGCATCAACTCTAAAATGAGAATGGTAGGGGCAGTCAAGTCAATTAAAGTCCATTTTCATCTATCACTGTGAGTATGTAAGGTCTGACTCCTAATAAAATAATAGACCCTTTATACTGATTTTAGTTCCATATCTTCCCGTTACACAAGCTGTACTGTAAGGTGTCATGTGGCTGTGGATTATTAATGTACATAACAAGGAGTCTGGTTGAGTCAGCAAGGACAGCAGATAACAATTTTCAGGGAAACTGGTCAGCAAAGAAACATGGTCATTGTGAGAATATCTTTTTAGACCCATTTGCTGGTACTTCCTTGAGAGGCAAACCCTGGAATAGACAGGGTTCATGATGATAGACTCTAATGCTCGCTTATTACATTTTCAATCAAGCATTTTTATGATTTATCTTAAGGTTACCCTTGTGCCTAGGAGGATGTCCCCTCTAAATATCTGCAAAACTAACTCATTACTCTCCTTCAAATCCCTCCTTAAAGCTGTCTGCCATGATGCCTACAGAAAAAAACCTGACAATGGATGGGCTTCTGATGTGCTGAGACCACTGCTTGTCATGATGATCAATACTACCTCATTGTTTCCCTGTACATTCCTCATCACTCTGTTTGCATCAGTTATCTCTTGCCTAACACTTAAATGCTATTGAGTAGGGATCATCTTTCTGTTGTGTTTGTGCAACACATAGGCACAATGGGGGCCCGGTCCACACCTGGAACACTAGACGCTAAGATACTATTACTATTGCTACTGCTAACACAGCTATGAAGAAATCCAGCACAGGAGCTAACTAAGTGTATGGAATATAACGGCAGTCTGATCCTACATAAACCATACACTACACTCATTTTAACATTTCTTTTAGAGCAAGACTGAGCAATTTCTCTGTAACTACAAGCGTAAGTGACAGCACAATTATTAATGGGCCCAATCATGTCAATTGCTACTTATGTATAGTATATCACACTCATATTTCCTTTAAGTCAATGAATAAGTTGAGTCCTCTGGATGGAAGTCTGTTTTCAACTAACAGATATATATATTAAGAATGTCTGAGTCGGGTTTTAAAAAAGGACAAATGTTAAAGAATGAAATAATGACATTAAAATTATTGACTTGACAACAAATACTGCACATGATAGAACTCTACAAACACACACAGGTTGCAGTTGATAACTATGAAAACGTACTGTTGTCCAAAACTGCAGTTACCTTTAAAGTCATATCATCAGAACATGATGCCAGAAGATTACCAGTTGGATCCCATTTGATTGCATTTACTTCATTCTGAAATTCAATAATGAAAGTAAAGTTGAAGTCTTGGTTTCCATTATAAGTGACAGCTTACAAAAGTCAAGTAAATATGAGTACTTGTACAGTTACATTACAAAATCTTATCATCAACTCCCATTCTCACTCCACCAAAAGATACCAACCTTTATTGCTAATAGTCAAAAGTTTCCCAAAGCACCCATGCCTTCTGTATGGGTGCATCTCAAAGCTACCACATTACTCTGCCTCAAAACAATCTCTGAACTTTGCCTATGTTGTGATGCCACCAATCACCTAACAGTGCTATGGCATCTGTTGTGCTGAGATTGCTGCTTATTGCACTAAGCATGAATGAATTACTGTTGCCATGTACATCCTGTTCTATCTGCTTGTGGTATCCACATATTGCCTCTTGCCAAGGACTGACTGAATATTTATGTATGCGTTCAGTGCCTAGCACAAGGCCCAAGAGTAATAATATATTGATATTATCAAATAGCAAACATACATTTTCTAACAAATTACGTAATAAAGAGATTTTGCAACTTCTTTCAGTATATAGAAACCAAGTCTCTACTTACTGTGTGACCCTGGAAGGTTTTGATGGGTCTATCTTGTCCTAATTTACAGACATGAATACACATATCTGTGCTGCAAGAAGCAAATGTGTTGTTACTCTGCCAGTCAACATCTAGTGCTGGTGCTAGAAAAATAAAAAGACATTAAGTTATGCTTTATTCTTTAGAAAGCTTTGATTTGTGAATCTTCAGTGCATCAGTTTTATAAATTGGAACAAATGCAACAAGGTGTGACTACATCAAGCTGAAAGACTTAACACTTCAGAGAAGTGGGAAACGTAACCAGCAAATTCAGTTTAATGTAGACACATTAAACTAAGAATCAAAACAGAGGACACATATGAAATGAAACAATTCTACAGGAGGCAAGGCAGACATCGACATCTAATAGTAAATAAGCCACAATGAATTGATCCAAATTTGATACCTAATCGGGGTTCTTGTATCCCTGCTGGTAGGAGCTGGAAGCTCATGAAAATAGCACTCCCAGCTTCGCCCAAGTAGGTGTGAGGTTTTAGATTATTCAACAGTGAACCCTTTGGTGGTTACCATGCTAAGTCCAAGAAATTAGGGTAGTCAAAAGGCAGAATATAAGGGAATTCTGAAGGGGTAGCAGATGCCAAATTCTTTGTTTCCTCTGCTCCATCTCCCAAGCCACCAAGGATACAAGAAATAATGAAATGAACTTGTCTGTTTTGATTTTTAAATAAATCTATTTTAATGCTGGATCACTATAAATAAAGATATAAAACAAACAGATCTTAAACCTCACACAATGGTATAAAAGTTTGTTTTCAGTCATGATTCATCTAGCAAAAAGGCCATGTTAGTTTACAGTAAAACATGTCTATTATAGTAATCCAAATACAGCTGACACATACATATAATCAATGACAGAAGCAGACACACTCACAAAATTTGTTTGTTCAAGGGTATATTACTTTGACTGCTTGTGTGCTGTCAGATCAAAATTTAAAAACTATAAATATTATATTAGTTTTTTAAAAGCCCAGCACATCAAGTTTTAAAACTTTTTGTTCTGTTTTTGACCAATCTGAGCTGTTACCTGCAGAGAAGTACTTACCAGAATGAAAGGGAAACTGCTGTTTGGCTTCTCCAGTATGGGCATCCCAAATAATTGTGGTCTGAGTTGAACAAAATTTAAAAAAAAAAATTGTAAAATTGCTAAAAACATGTTTTTTTCTATCTAACTTCTATTAGGTCCTCTGCTACTATCTTCCTTTGGCCAGGATTGGTTGCGCTTATAAGTTTTCTAGTGTTTTAGCAAGTCCAGTTTTACATGTCCTAAGAAATGGGTCTTCTATCACTTCCTTTTAAATATTATCCTAATATATTCCAATTGCCAGAAAGCAAGCAGTTCCTGACTGCATCTTAATTTTTTTCCTTTTTAACTTTCATATTAGTCATAATTACATCCTTTTGTCTTATCTTAATTAATTCCTTTATCTTCTAATATTTGTAGGCTATTATGTGCTTCCTGTTACTGACACTAAAGAGCTATCTATATTTATAGCTTTTAAATCTATTCTCATAAATCAAACTCTTCAGCGCCTAAATTATTTGTTACCTTTTCTAAACTTCTTTAACAATATGCCAATTCTCTAGTGTCTTTCTGCTATACAAACATTTATATATCTATATATTTGAGAGTTTGTCTGCCTGCGTGTCTGTCCATTTGTTCAAGAACTCCTCCTAAAGAATAAGAGCTAGAACCACCAAATTTGGTATGCAGCTTCCTCTCATAACTTAAAGCAAGGCAAGCATTGTTTGTGCCATGAAAATGGGTTGTGCCTGGAATGGGATCGATTCTCATAAAACTGAAAGGAAGAACTATGCTACATAATCACCACATTGAGGCAGCGGGGGATACAGTATGGAAAGCAGGGACAGTTATGCTGTAAAATGACCACGGGGGGGGGGGGGAAAGGTGCCAGAGATGGGTACCTGGACTGCTATAACTCCATTGGAGCAACAGGGGGAAAGGGTGGAAAAAAGAACAGCTATCTACTATATATGTGAGAGAGTTTGTCTGTTCATGTGTCTGTCTGTCCCCCGGCAAGGGGACATGCACCCCTTTCCCGGCTATGCCTGTTAGAGCTGTAGCAGCCATCAAGAGGTGATTCTCCGGGGGTTGTCCTCTCTCCCTGGACCAGCCTGCATACTGAACCCCTCCTCCCTACCCCACCCCAGAGCAATTATTTCAATGAAGCATGTCCATTTTCATTTTATTTTCCAAAAAAACAAATATTAATTGATTTATGGACCCGAGCAACGCCACATAACTTCTAGCTCTGTTATGTCCTATGGACCTGATTCAACTTTGATAAAAGTTAGTGACAATTCTGAATCATGAACAGACCAGACATTTTCTTACTGACATTAGTCCCTGAAAAGACGTAGGGGTCATGTATTCCATCTCTGGGTATGTCTACACTACAATGTTAATTCGAACTAAGCTAATTCGAACTAACGGATCCAGACTAAAAAACTAGTTCGAATTAGCGTTTTGCTAATTCGAACTAGCATGTCCACATTAAGTGGACCCTGAACCGGGGTCAAGGATGGCCGGAAGCAGTGCCGGCAGGGCATCAGAGGAGGACTTAGAGCGTGGAGATGCTGTCTCAGGCTAGCCGAGGGCTGTGCTTAAAGG